GTCCTTCTGTCTCTAAGTGCTGGGTTTACAGGCATGATCCACCATGCCCAGGAACTATATTCTAACATAATTTGTTATAAAAATTCAGGGGGAAAAGGAATGAGAAGAAATTTTAAAACAAAAAAAGAAACAAATGATGATAACAACAACAACAAAAAAAAACTTAGCTGGGTGAGGTGGCTTATATCTATAATCCCAGGACTTGGGGAGGTTGAGGCAAGAAAATTGAGGATACAGGTTGAACTCCCAACACCCATATGGTGGCTTAAAACCGTCTGAAACCGGTTTCAGGGACTCCAATGCCCTCTTCTGGCCTTTATGGGTGATGCATGCATGTGGCATGCAAACAAGAACACTCATACACATAAAATAAAAATAAATACATCTTTTTAAAAAAATGGCACTTAGCCAGGGATGCTATAAGAGACCATATCCCAAGAAAACAGAGGGCTAGGAACATAGCTCAATTGACAATTGCCAGTCATGCATGAAGCTCCGGGTTCAATCTCCAGTGGGGAAAGGGAGGACCCAGGATCCTATAAAATGCCCAGCCTATACTCAGCCTTAGTTAGTCTGGTGACTTCAAATCAGGCCGCTGTTCTGAGCACCTGCAGTGATCCTCCTAGGGGGTGTGCAGCATCTGGTTTTAGTTTCCAATACTTGCCCTTTTACCTCTGAAACCAACCACTGGGCCTGCCCTTGGCCTGGAAACAATGGCCATGAGCTAGCCAGACATAAGAGGACAGTCACCCTCCGTCACACCAGAGACAGCTTCAGACCTCTCCCCACTGAGAATTCACCCTGTGACTACTGTCTATGTCACAGGCTCTACTTGTTGCAGTTTCTTTCTTCTCTATTTCTCTGCAAATAGAGCAAACTAGTTCCAAGATTCTTCAAAGGTTGCCCCTCAGCTGCCTTCTCACACACTGGGCAGAAATGGACCCTCAGACCTTTTGTCAGGAATTAAGGACCCAATATTCCATAGGATGATTCCCTTGCAGTTTGGACACACCTTATCCACAGGGCCTTCTTATTATCTCAGCCTAAAGATAAGAGACGGTATGATAGGCTTCCAAGCAGTTGGTCACCCCAAGTCTGGTCAGGTCTCAGGTTAGACATAGGTAAAGGCAGGTATTTATATTAGTCTGAGCCTCCTTTTGATCATGGTTGTTTGCTACCTGTGGTAGTTTGAATGAGAATGCCCCCCCCCCTAAGGTCCTATGACTGAATGTTTGGTCCTCAATTGGTGCAACTGTCTGGGAAGGATTAAGAGGTGTGGCCATATTGGAGAAGATGTGTCATTAGGGGTGGGCTTTGAAGTTGCAAAACCCATGCCAGGTTCCTGCCAGGCCCAATCTCAGTCTGTCTCAATCAGTCTGCCTGTCTCTGTCTCTCTGCCTACAGATTGCAGATCAGATGTGAGCTCTCAGCTAATGCTCCAGTGTATGCTGCCACACTCCCTGCCAGGTTGAAACTCTAAGCAATCCCCCATTTAAATGCTTCTTAGTATAAGGTGCATTGGTCATGGTGTTTCATCACAGCAAAAACAAACAAACATATAAAAAACAAACAAACAAAAAACCCAAAAAACAAACAAACAAACAAAAAAAAAAAACGCAGTAACTAAGACAGTGCCACTCACTCGTGACCTTATAAAATTAGACTCTAAAAGGAAAGCTTATCAACCCCCATTCCCCATGCAAGACCCAACAGCTATCAAGAATCATCTGGAAAAAAATCTATGCTAACTATAAAGAGGTCAGACAGGTGCTTTGGGTCCAGCCAGCTGTCGCCAGACTCACAGTGTAAACCGCTAGCTAGGTTCAGGTTTACAGAGGAACAAACGCCTTTTGTGTATCTGTTACTCGCACCCATTCAGAACCTAAAGCAGGGTTATGGCAGATCACTCTACGTACTTTATAAAGATAGCCTGTGTTTTCTGTAAGGTTTCCCTGGGAACATAGTCTAACAGCACGCATGCACACAGGTACTACCGATTATCATTTCTGTAGTCTGGGTTCAATGTGTCTTTATTAAGGTGGAGCCACATAGCAGTATCTTCCAAGCCAAACAACTGCCATGACACCAGCTGTAGAAACCTGTAAAAGATCATCACAGCCAGGCTCGCTGACTGCTCATTGTTAATGTTATTTGTCTCACAAGATGGCAGGATGCTTTTCCAGAAAAGAAAGCTGGGAAACATAGCAAATTATAGGAGTCTGAACAAGTTAAATGAGATATACAAAAGATCAAAGTTCAAACCACTGACGTCAAACCTCTGCTTAAATCAGCAGAGTATTGGTCTACTCTCAGTAACAATTACAAGAACTAGCTTACAGAAGCAAAGTTTGTTTCATTTGTGCCAAAGCTTCATCTAAATATTTCACTAAAGTTAAACAACCAGACTGGTTCCTTCTGGGTGTTCAATAGCCATATTTAGAGGCTACGTTAACATGGTCAGAGGGATCAAAAGGGAGACTATTTTTCCCCTTGCCTTCAAAGCTTAATAGGTCTCAGGACTAGGACATCTCTCAAGTTCTATAATTGTGGGTAGTCACAGCCCGGCATAGTGATGCACACCTTTAATCCCAGCACTCAGGAGGCAGAGACAGGCAGATCTCTGAATTTGAGGCCAGCCTGGTCTACAGAGTGAGTTCCAGGACAGCTACAGGTTCACAGAGAAATCCTGTGTGAAAAAAACAAACAAAAAATTGTGTAGAGTCATCTGTTCTTTTGTTCAGAGAGGTCATGGAGACCCTACCTGGTGAGCTGTAACCAGTGTCCAGTCTACAAAGAGAAGGGTCAATACAGAAGAAATTTCCCCCCATGAATTCCAGCCAAGCCGTGGTCAAGTGAGGGCTTTGAATTTCCTCACACAGATGGGACAACTGTTAAAAGGCAGGCGAAAGGAGACAGAGGTTCCTCTCAAGCCCAATTTGATGCTATGGATCAGATCCTCAACTGACTTTGACAGTAAAAAAATATAAATGTGATTATATGCTGGCTACCTGTATGGTCTCTATCACCCAAGCAGGGAAGTATAGCCAAGGAGTAGAATGAATGGCATGTTTTATTTTGTTTTGTCTTGTTCTTCACAACAGGTTATCTCTATAGTCTCACCCGCTGGCCTGTTTCTTTAATAGTTTAAGGAAACACATGCCCTGGGCATTAGGTTTAAATCCATATGAGATACTATTTAAGCAACTATTTCTCCCTAATGATTTTCTTCCTGATAAGAATGCTACTCAGATAATAGGACATCATGACCTTAGCTCAGTATGACCTGCAGAGCCTACCTGCAGCCCGAAGAGACAGACCCACTATTGTTTCAATGATGGTTAAATTTCTTCTGTAGAAGCTATATGGTTAAGGGCCTCGCGCCTTGACGACAGCCATTCCAATAGCTATCAAAGTACCTGAAAGTTGACCCTGGACTCATCTCGAGACCAGCCTGACCTGACTGCTAGGGAGATACAGTACTTCCCTGGGAAAACTGCCCTGGCTAGGCTACAGGTACTAACTTCTAGCATTCTCTTGTAACGCCCTCTGCTTCTACAGTTGGTCCTGAAGATGGAGACTGAGACACACTGCCCACAATGCTGCCACACCTGAATCTGCCCCAAGAGCCACCACATAAGAGTGTTCTTTCTCTTGGATCTACACCCCACAGACTCTACCATGAAGCAGCGGGAGGCCATTACCCTGTCCACAAGCTCAGGGAGGGAGGAACGAAAGTTAGAGGAATAATGGTAGGCAGGCCCTGAGATGCTGGTTTCTTCTACCTAGAAGACAACTTTGAAGAGAAACAATAGGAAAGGCTTGGAGGTTGTTGTCAGAAATAGGAGGGGTAAGGAGAGACCAAGGAGCCCTATTAACCTAAGCCAGAGCTGGGCAGTAGTGGTGCATACCTTTAATTCCAGCACTCGGGAGGCAGAAGCAGGTGGATCTCTGTGAGTCTGAGGCCAGCCTGGTCTACAGAGTGAGCTCCAGGACAGCCTCCAAAGCTACACAGAGAAACCCTGTCTTGAAAAAAATGAAAACCAGAAATCTAAATCTAAACAAAACAAACAAACAAAAAAACAAACAAACAAAAAAACCAGAAGCCAGTGCCCGTCCCTTCACAGGCCTGGAGACTTAGGCTTCCCCTAGCCTCAATCTTGGTCTTTTGTCTTCCACAGCTTTGTCCACTCCTGCAGCAAATGCACTCGGCGACCCCATAGACAGCCCAGCGCCTTCCTCACACACTTCCTTCCACATGACCCACGCCTAAAAACATGTCAGAAGGGTCTTCTTTTTCTGGCATAACTTACTCTTAAAAAGTTTAAGATGGCTTATCTACAAATAATTATATTTGAAATTTACAAACTCCACAAGATAAAAACACTCCACTTACAATATTTTACAAAATCTTTTTGGAAATCTTTTCTGGTATTGACAAAAGCACGTCCTCTTTCAGTTCCAACAACAAACACGTCCGTCTCATACACAGCGATGCAGGCCACCTCAGCCTTGGACTTCGCCAGCTCTTTACACTGAAACAGAAACAGCCAAAGTTATATTATATGTAGCTGTTTAAAAGCACCATTTCTTTCTAAATTAATCTAAAAGTCTTTCACTT